GAGTTATACTTGGATATTTTGTACCCAAGAACAAAACATATGCTCCCACATGCACTTGAATGGAAAATATAGACCTCCTTTTGTGAAGAACAGTTTAGAAATTCATACATGGTGAAAGTTCAAGTTGATTTGATGGGTTAATAAGGTTCTACAATGCCTTCGATATTCACTTTGCAGTGTTGGGAACTTGAGTGACTTGCTCCCAAGTCCAACTCCAGTTGCATCAACTACTCAATTCAGACTTAACTTGGGAGCAACAAGCAAGATTTCCACTGTTTTTACCACTGAGTTGCTCCAGGCCTTACGGCCTGCATCCGACGTGCAGCAGGATATCCTGGGATGATCTTGGCAGAAGGTATCTGCTATGGGCTGGAAGGCAGGCACAAACACAGCAGAGGCAGTGGGAGGGAGTGAGGGGGTTTCAAGGGGGTGGGGCAGGAGACAGATGAGGGGGTTGTGATAGAATGGAAGGGAAGGTTTCAGTTCTTTTTGGCATGAGGGAGGTGGTGGGAGAGGGGGAGACTTGACAAAAATCTCTTGCAATCACCTGAGACTCTACTTGGACTTGAAAGTAAAGACTTAAGACTTGACTTGAGACTTGGAGTAAAGGACTTGAATACTTCTTCTTTGTGCTACATATGAGAGTACTTTCTTCTCAAAAAAAATTGCTTTCTCTTGTGGCATCTGGATTTTGCTCTGAGATTTTAGAAAAGACATGATTTGGCCCAGTGTTGGACAGAACTAAGCCACTTAAGCTGCTAATAATGGCAGAAAAAAGCAAGGAGGTATTTTTTTTCATTATGTATTGCATAAACAAGTTTGTTTACTGTGTGTTCACACAGCCTCTTGTGTTCTCATTAGGGAAGAAGTATGTGTTTGTAGCTATAAGCTAAGCACCTAGTATTGCCCCAGAGGGGGAGTGGGGGTCATTTAGGAATGTTTTAGAGTAATTCTTCTGTTTGAGAGGGTATCATAGAAATGAATATTCAATATAAAAGAATTAGTTATATAGAATTAGTTATAATTAGCTCTGTGGCGGCTGAAGGTCTTTAGGATGCTTGGGTTTCTCCATACCACCCTTCCCTCTATGTCCTGCCTGATTCTGTTCCATATAGGTTTTAAAAATAACTAAATTTTATTTTATTTTCTCTCTTACACAATATAAACAAAATAAGGAGATGTAGTTGAACAGTTAGGACTAAAACGGAACATATCCAAAGGAGGTGTGTGTGTGTGTGTGTGTGTAGGTTCTCATTGATGCTCAAACTTACATGTCATTGCATAGTGAATAAATATCAAAATGTACACCTGGAGATTGTTGTCTGCAGTAAACTGCACGTTCAAAGATAGAAAAGGCAGTATGGCCTTCTGCCCATTGAAGACTTGATGCTGTGAACTTGGACTTCCACTTTCGAAACCAAAATTTTTTTACTACCATGCATATTCTCAAAATCCACTCTTGTTGACCATCTGATGCATCCTAGAGCAAAATAATATAATTCAAAAACACAAAAAATAAGCCATGTGATTGTTTTTCATACAAAATGAGTGCATAGAAATCTAAAAAGGAGCTATAGAGCCTGCCAACATCATATAGGAGGGTGATGCAAAATCTGTGCCACAACATCTGGCAGCTGAGGACATGTTTTTTCTAAAAAGATGATCTGGTGCTCAATAGGTATGGAAAAACAATTTCTGTTGTATTGGATTTGTGAGTAGTTCCTCTTCCACTCCTCTCTGATGACCTGAATGTCAAAGTTAGTCATGTCTAATAATTGTTTATATAGTTAAATAGTGGCCTAAATATGTAGAAAGAAAGAAATTCTTCTCATATTTGGAGAGGGGGTTGGAGAAGTATTAATTGCTGATAGACCCCTAAAATGAATGTCAAAAGGTGAGCTGATTATGAATATTGCCTGTGGGCTGTAGTTGGCCATTTACATTTGTGTTGTGAATCTGAGTAACATAGTTGCATGAATAAGCCAGTGTTGCTGTGTCAGCATGATGTATTGTGCCAGCTCTCATCAGGCCATGACACGGTGATGTCACAGTGTCCAAAGAACTCATTGGCTGGGGCAGCAGCTCTGGTTTGCCAGTTTAAAAGGCTTGGATATTGTACAACATTCTTGAGATCTCTCAAAAATTCATTTATACTGGAAATGTACACATGGGAGTCAGCTGGGCCTTCAGTTGGGTCTTGTGGTGCACAGCTGGAAGCATAAAATGCTCACCTGGAACAGACAGGCATGTGGCTTTCAGGTTACCCCTGCAGGAACAATCGGAACTCTTGTACTAACACAGCAGCATAGCCCATAGTGTATCAGTGCCTCTAATATGCTTTGTCAGCCCATGGAAAGTGAAGGAGCAGAGCTGACTCAATCTCTGGGCCATGTGGATGGCCAAGTACATCTAATAACCAGAGAAAGCTTTGTTCAGATGTTCCTCGAGACGACAGCTCAGTAAGAACCAATGAATACATGTATATCCTCCCTTTGTTTTTCCTCCTGCAGAGAACCCAAGGGGACTTTTGTGGTCCTTCTTTCCCCTTTTCATCCTCACCACAACCACTCTGTGAGATGGGTTAGGCTAAAGTCAGTGACTGGCCTCAAGTCACCCAGTGATTTTCACGGCCAAGTGGAGACTAGAACCTGGATCTTCTGGGTCCCAGTCCAACACTCTAACCACAACACAACACTGTAAGCACATTTAAATTGCATTGACTCCAGAGGGATAGAGGCTACAATCCTATGTGCTCTACGTGGAAGTAAGCCCCAATGAATACAGTAGGCTGTACAGCTGAGTAATATGCCCACTAATATGACTTTAAAATGCTTAGTTTTGCCTGCAACATTACTGGGCTTTATTGCTATTATGTCAGTTTCATCAGTGTTCCCAATAAAGAAGAACCAAGAGTTAAATGAGATGAGTAATCAGATGCCTTGCGTATGTCATTTTCAGTTTGTTTTTATGGCCAGTCGTTATTCAGACTGTTACCTATTGAATGCTATAATTTCTAAATCATATCTTGTTCTGTGTGCTTTTAAGATATGTATTTCCAGTTCTGAATATATATAAGCTGTATATAAGTGTCCTTTGCATGGTTATAAGTTCAGTACATTTAATATATATGGTGCTGAAAAAAGAAAATATTTTCAGCATACTATGAGAACTGAATAAATGACAAAATTTAAGGGGTTTTGCCTCAGTGTATAAAATCTGTCAAAAAAAGGCACTGAAAATTCTGACATCTGTTTATCTGTTTATAGCTATGGAAAGATTACTCATTTTAATTCTTGTTTAAAATGCCATATGAAGGAAAAGGCATTTGTGCAAACAAGAGTCATATTTGAATTGTAGATCATGTCTCCACCATCTGTGAGAGCTGTTGGTGTTGCAAAATTAATGTGTTAATGAAATCACAATAATTTCTCTGAAGTAATGGATTCTGAAACCTAGAATGACTATTTTTTGAACTTTGGTTTCTAGTGGCTTGCAACTGGGAAAACCTTTCACAGCTTAATTAGTTCTGCAGCCTTATTTACTTTTTTTTTAACGAATTGGCAATGTGTCTTCACCACACCAATAGCAGCACAGAAAATAACTTGCATTTGGTACAGTAAGGCTGTAATAATAAGAGGTTTTGCCTTAGTTTTTGAAAAGTTGTTAAATAAACTGTTGTCTGCCAAGAAGTTATACAAAAGCGTCTAGTGAAGAAGAGTGGGCAAACAGCTCGGAAAATCTTTCCAGCTTGTTGAAATATCACAGCTTTAGAATACTTGAAATTCACCCAGATTTTATTACTATTTTCTACTTCGTATTTGAAAGACAAAGCTAATGATGTAGGATGCTTTTGTTTTTTGGGTACCATTTAATATTCCAACTTTGTTATCTACTGTATTTAAATAATTTAAAATATCACATAGTGTTGTGGTTTTTTGTAGATTATTTGCACTCACTTGTCTCAAGTCATGGGGTCATTTCCAAGAGTTACTTGATCTTATTTACATAGCTAGCTATTCAAGTTGTCGTCTGTGTGACAGCAGCAGTTAATGCGAAAGCCATAATCCAACACAGAATTAAAAGCTCATTGAAATTGAAATCACTGTGCTTAAGCATTCTTAATGCTATGCTGGATTGTGATCATACTATATAATTAAAAACCTAACATATATAGTGCTTTACCGAACAATCCTTTACATGTTTACTCAAAAGCCCCACTGTGCTTGATGCTCAGAGTAAGTCTATTTATGATTGCAGCCTTAGAGCATTCCAAGCACTTCAGATACATTTTGTTGTAATCTATAACAACAACCCTGTAAAGTAGGAGAACATGAATATACCATGTTGTTGAAGTGGAGAGAAGCACAGTGGCTGCTTGATATCACTTAGACTGCAGTCTTATATGGGGCTAATATAAAATCTCATTGAAGGGAATGTAACTTGCTTCTGAGTAAATATTAATAGGATTGGGCTATTAGTGAGTTCATGACAGAGATTAAGGTTTGAACTGAGGGCTTCCAGATATTCACTGCAGCACACCAGGTCTACAATATGTATCAGTTCATGCTTCATTTGTAAATAAGGAATGTAAAGAAAACCTACTAACATCACGGTGCTCTTCTAAAGCCCTTTGGGTCTACAACACATGGAGACATGCAAGCGCAGACACACACACACACACACACACATGAGCCAACACACAGTACTGTGCTTTCATATTCCAAAGCATCTTAGCACTGTAGAGGAAGACGATATCAAATCTTTTAATAGCAATTATAGTTAAGACTTTACTGAGCATATATACATGCCTTTAGGTGCTAGGATATAGTTTATTGTTGGGGATAGAAACACAATATCATGAAATATATTTTCTTTGGTTATTCAGATGTTTGGAAAGCCATAATGGAAAGTTAAAAGAATATATATTTTAATGCAAATGACAATATAAAAAAGGAAATCACATTTTTCTTACCTGTTTTGATTTTGTTACTGTGTTGTAGGTATGTGACTGGTGTAAGCACATAAGACACACAAAAGAGTATCTGGATTTTGGGGACGGGGAAAGAAGGCTTCAGTTCTGCAGTGCAAAATGTCTCAATCAGTACAAAATGGACATTTTCTACAAAGAGACACAGGCCAATCTTCCAGCTGGACTCTGCAGCACATTACATCCTCCAGTCGAAAATAAAGCAGAAGGCACTGGGGTGCAGCTGCTGACTCCAGATTCTTGGAATATACCGCTAGCAGATGCTCGGAGAAAGGCCCCATCCCCAGTGTCTGCAGCTGGCCAAATTCAAGGTCCTGGACCATCCGCATCTACCACTGCCTCTCCGCCTGAAACTGCCAACTGCTCTGTCACTAAAATCCCAACGCCTGTTCCCAAACCTATTCCCATCAATGAGAATCCAAATATGCCACCGGTTTCCATCCAGCCACCTGCTAGCATTGTGCCTCCAATTGGTGTCCCACCTCGAAGTCCTCCCATGGTGATGACAAACCGTGGGCCTGTCCCCTTGCCCATATTCATGGAACAGCAAATCCTGCAGCAAATCCGTCCCCCATTTATTCGAGGGCCACCTCATCATGCCTCAAATCCAAATAGCCCTCTGTCCAATCCAATGATTCCTGGAATTGGTCCACCACCAGGTGGCCCAAGAAATATGGGCCCCACCTCCAGTCCTATGCACAGGCCAATGCTGTCCCCCCATATTCACCCTCCAACAACCCCAACTATGCCTGGAAATCCCCCAGGTTTACTACCCCCTCCGCCTCCGGGAGTCCCTTTGCCCAGCCTTCCTTTTCCCCCAGTAAGCATGATGCCAAATGGTCCTGTGCCCATGCCACAGATGATGAACTTTGGCTTGCCATCTCTTGCCCCCCTGGTGCCACCCCCAACCCTGTTAGTGCCATATCCTGTCATTGTCCCTCTTCCAGTTCCTATCCCCATTCCAATCCCCATTCCACACATCAATGATTCCAAACCCCCAAATGGCTTCTCCAGCAATGGGGAGAGTTTCATTCCAAGTACATCTAGCGATGCGACTGGGGCAAAGCCAACAAATAACTCTGTGTCCCCCAGAGATCCGAAACAAGGGCCTTCCAAGTCTTCTGACTCAACACCAAGCTGCTCAGGCCAGTCGTTAAATCAAATGCCAGTGCATCAGGAGCACAGTAAAAATGAAGTTGTTGATTTGACTGTGAGACCTAGTAGTCCGGTAAACAACAAATTTGGTTTTCCTACAGCACTACAGGGACCACAGGATGGTGTGATAGACTTAACTGTAAGTCACAGGTCTAGACTACACAATGTTATCCACAGGGCTTTACATGCTCAAGTCAAAGTTGAACATGAAGCTAGCAGTGTTGTAAACCTGACTTTTGGTAGTGCAGATAAAAGGAACTGCAGTGACTGCAGGAACAATTGCAGCTCCACTGAAACAAAGACGTTACCTTGTAGTGACCCAGCTCACTGTGGTCCTATCACACTGGCCTCTGGCACGCCAGAGAATAGTGCAGGTGCAGTTTGCAACGTCATTGTGAATGGCACGAAGGCCCCAGAGGTTTCTAAGAACTCAGAGCAGCCCCAAGAGCAGAAGAAGTCGCAGCCTCTGGAGGAACTGCCAGTGAGTGAGCTGGAGTCTGTTAAGGAAAACAACTGTACGTCAAACTGCCGCCGGGAAGCAGAGTCTGGTAAGAAGACTGGGGAAGAACCCCTCTTTGGGGGAGACAAGCAAGATCCCAACCTTAACAATCCTGCAGATGAGGACCATGCATATGCTTTGCGGATGCTACCCAAAACAGGCTGTGTCATCCAGCCTGTGCCAAAACCAGCGGAAAAGACTGCTATTTCACCATGCATTATCTCAACACCAATTCTCAGCACAGGGCCAGAAGATCTGGAGCCACCACTGAAAAGGAGGTGTCTCCGAATTCGAAATCAGAATAAGTAAAGGTTTGTGTAATCACTACAGTCTTCTGTGTGAGCAGAGTGAATATCAGTGTTTTCAGGTAGGAGTAAAAGACAAATGGAGGTGGCCATTTGTGAAACAGGAACAAAGATTCTGGTTTATGAATTTCCCAAAAGAAAAAAAGTCATTTTTATGTTTTGTCTTTGTCCTGTGGCATCTTTGTATCTGTCTGTTTTACATCCATCAGCAGTGTATATTCCCTTAATGTTCATGAAATATTATTTGGAACTCTGGCAGGGAAAACTGTGTTGTGGTTTATATCCTGACTAGTGGATCTTAGAACAGTTTTTGAGCCCAGGAAACTGACCTGATGTGTACAGCTAAGCCCTCTGGGTAATAGTGATTTAGGACTTTTGGGTTTAATGAGCACAACCCACCTTTAGGAAAAGTCTCCGTGGAGTAATTCTACCGCTTCTAATTAACTGAGGGCCCAAAAGCATGCTTTTTTGATGTTCATATTCCCCCTGCTGAAAACCAAAATGTTTTAAGGTAGCCTAACTTAAATTTCATTAAAAAACACTTCCATGGGTTTTGTTGAATCAGATATACAAATTCATATGTTGCTTACTATTTTGGTTCTTGCTGTTGCATCTCAGTACACTTGGATCACATCTCTGCCACATTTCTCCATATCCTCTGCCTTTTAAAAACCTCCTTGGACATTATTGTACTGATGTCAAATGTATTTTTAATGTTCTTTGGCTAGAGCACACCAGCATACAAACAGTAACCATTAAAAAATCAACAACAGCTGAGCCTTATTTTTGAAACAGGGTTATCAAACAAATAACCAGCTTCTACACCTTTGTATTAGTGGTGTAATACATATTCTAAAGGAATGCTTAATATGCCAGATGTACAATTTGAATTTAGAACAAATTAATGTTCTGCATTTAAAAGAAATTGTTTCTCTGTGTTTGCCAAGCAGATGTCTGGAGTATTCTGGTAATTCTAGATAGTCACTTTGGAAAATAAAACAAAATAAAAATCATAATGCATAGTAAGCCCCCTTCCCCACATATATATGTATTCACACTTATTTTAATGGCCTTTCCACACAATCAGGTAGACAATTGCAAATTGGTTGCAAACAATCTACATCATTCCTACAGCACTGCATCTCTGTTACATAGATAACAATTTTCAAGCACTAGAAGCGTTAAAATTTGTTTTTTCTTTTTTTCAGAAAATGCAGTGCTTCCTACAGAACTGCTTTTGTTATGATATGCTGAGTATGGCTCAAGTGTGGCTGCTGAAGTGACAGGGGCTCTTAAAGGGAATCGTTTTGATGTAATAAGTGAGAGCATGACTCAGCTGCCACCCGTGCCCTTGCCTTTTTTAATTTTTAAAATAATGCATTTAATTGGACTTTTAACTAACAGTAAACAGAGAAAATAATATACAGAAAAGATAACCTCCCTGTTTCACTCACTGAAGCAAACAGATGAGTATATGTAATTACGGAAATCACAGATCTGTGCACACTCAGTGAGCATACATTGTCCTGTATTTGTCTGGTCTTAACCACTCTTGTTTATGAGTTCCAGAGGGGCAATCTGTATTAGTCTATTACAGCAAAAACAGCAAAGAGAATTGTGGCACCTTCAAGATGAATGCATTTATACTGGCTTAAACTTTTGTTAGACACTGGATTCACAAAGGCTTATGCCTGGATATTTTTCTGTCTTTAAGACTGTTGTTTATGATTGTCCAGAAGGCCTAGAAATGTCCATCGCTCCAATAATGTTGTCTTCTCCTTCTCCTTCTCCCTCTCCACAATGCATTATTCTTCACAGCAAAGCTGTTCTCACTGAGGTCCAAATTAGAAGAGTTGCTAGTGAACTATAATCAGATCTTCTGTTTTTTAAAAGGCAGCCACTGTGAGGATGGACTTAATTAGGGTGGGACTGTGGTAGTAGGAGATATTTATTTATTACTTTAATTTGTAAGCTTCTACAGTAACCCATACCTGAGCTCTCTGTGCAGCTTACAATAATATCCCTTTCTCTGAAGTTTATTTTCTTTATTTAGTTTAGTTTTTTTTTAAAATAAACTGGTGGCTCCTCCAGGCTGTACAGAAATAGTAGCTAACCCATCTAGAAGCCTAAAGCCAAAAATAGTCTGATTAATTCAAATCAATATGTGACATCCACTGCCACCTGCTTCTTGGCCTTCATTGCCTCCATAGTTGCCAGGTCACAATGCTGTGGCGAAAGAAAAATCTGCAGCCAGCAGAAATCCCCTGTCTGGTCTAGACTCCAAGCTTTGCAATAGTGTGTGCCTTTGGCTTCCTGACTTGCCTAGTAACCTACCTCTTGCCAACAGCACATATCCTTCCTGGCTCTAGGCCCTCTGTGCAAAACCTTATTCTGGCCTTTCCTTCATGTGTCAGCCACACCTGTGCTTTTGCAGGTGCCTGCAGCCTGCTGCCTACTTGGTCCCTTTCCATTATTGACTGTCCCTCAACCAGCATCCCTAGCATTTGTAGCATAGAGCTCCACCTCATCCTCTTCATCACTGTGAAATTTTTAGGAGCCTCCTCTCTGATCGGTCAACACATCAGCTTTCCATCTCCTGTGCCCCTTTCCCCAAGCAATCTTCTTCCTCACTTAGCCTTTCTTTAAGATCAGTGGGAGCACGGGCTTAACCTCTTCATAGTCATCCTTAGTCTTCCATCCAAACTTTCATCTACCTTCTCCCACACAATAGCTGAACTGCAAAGTGATTAATTCCCCAAGAAGCAGACTTTTTGAGGCATTCTAACAGTTTAGCCTACCAGAGGCAAAAGCTCCCTTCACAGGAGAATATAATTTAGATTTTTTTAAAAAGTTGGGAACTGCGTCAGGATATGTTAGTGGTTACATGGTAAGACTCTCAAACTTATAGGTTTGCTGGAGGGACAGAGCCAAGATGGCAACGGAGCAACAGCTTCTTTGCTGAACTCCTTATGATATTTTATTTATTTATGCAGGGTTGCTAACTTGTGATGTAGTTAAAAATGGTGGCTGTAGTCCTGACAACAAGAACAACGAAGAGTCTTGTGTCACTACCACCATGATGGCTTTTTAGTTGATAAGGCAACATTGATAATACATTCATAATTAATGGGAGACTATTTGGCTTTCACGGACTGAAGTCCACTTCACCTTGATAACATGACCTCCAGCCCATGTTCGCCTAGGCCAAAGCAAATGGATTAGCAGTGTTAAGGGTGCCATGAGGCTCCTTGTTCTTTTTTCTGATACAGACAATCTCACAGGAAGCCCTCCAAAGCTCCAGGGATTTCAGTGCAATTTAAACATTCTAACATTATCAAAAGAACATGTGAACCAATCCTGTGAAAAGGCAGATTTTTCAAAGTCTCTTTGCAGATTTTTCAACTGAAACAAATACAAATTTAGTCAATTGTTGAAGTGACTGAATACTTGAGTTTAGTTAATACGATGAAATTACCAATTTATTGAATAATAGTTTTATTATTAAAATTACAATCCATCTTTGCACCAAAAATGAGACCCCAGACAACTATTGAAATGAACTAGAACATGCTATATCAACCAGAAATAAGCTTTACTATCTATTCTGTGTTTTCTAACTCACAATATAATTCTGTACATGTCTACTCAGAAGTAAGTTCTGTTGAGTTCAAGGGGACTTACTCCCAGGTAAGTTTGTATAGAGTTGTAGCCTAAGTGATCTCATTTTTTTTAAAAAAAGAAATCAATTTAAAATATTACTACTCTATTATTTTTCCTTTCATCTTGTGAACAGATGTTGTTGCATTTTCTTGAGATTCATGTGTGGAGAAAACCTAACACTGCCTCCTTAAAAATAAGTGGGTGGGAAGCCTGTTCAGAAATCAAATATTAATGATTTACTGGATGAGGTTTGATAAGGAGCCAAAATTTAATGCAATTTATAAGTACCCCTTAACCTTGAACAAATCATATTTTATACCCTCCTGGCAATGCTTTTATTGCATATAGATGTACCACATAGAATTTTATATGAAAAACCTAGAAATTAAGGAAAACAGGAAGCCATCGTGGCATCTGACAACATCTCATTATTCTGTAACAGGAAATGACTGCTGTGGGGTATTCCATGGGGCAACATTTTAAGGATGGCCGTAAGTGTAAACTGGACAGTTTTGCTTATTTCTGCAAATATATTCACATATATTTAATGACAATCCTCTACCCTCTAGTTCAGCACCCACTGAAGTACTCTGTAGCCATCAAAAGAACAGAAAGGAATGAAGGCCACTTCTAGCAGCCAGGATTACTTGCATTCATAGAGGCATTCTCCATGTCAGTGACAATGCTCAACCTTCAGTATAGTCAAAGCTGACCTCTGTGGTAGTGTAAAGGCTATAATGTTTGAACTGATCTTAAAGGATATGGAGCATAGACCAGCTAGCAGGGTCTACCCATTACAGCTTTTTCTTGTGCATTGATTCTTTGGAGTAAAATTCAAAGTACAGGAGTAGAGAAAGAAATGGATTCAGGAATTTAATTCAGGAACATTTCAAGCAGCCTTCCATCTGCCAGCCGTAGGATATGCAAATATAGGGTAATGAAAACAACATTCAAGCAAACCAAATAATGATCCACAATACAACAAAAGAATCACTGTTTTAAAACATGTGTTTATATCAGTAAAACTGTAGCCATATTTTGCTTGTTTGAATAATTATAGTGGTTCAGTTCAGCATGTATGTAGAAACATAACTAACATATTGAATCACTATATTTACTCAAATAGCCTGGAAAATGCATAAAATATATAACTATTTTGTGGTTCTAATAGATGGTATATAGTGAGCATTATATAAGAGAATTAACTTTAGAAAATTGAAACATTTGAGCATCTTTGGGCCATAGGAGGTCTACATGAAGATACATATCTCAGCCCTGATCAAAAACTGTTCCCATGACTGATTCAGAGCCCCACTGCTTGTGTGTAAATGCTAAAGTGTGTATGATGTCTTCCCATGACATTGCTGCCACCATAAGTATAATTTTAGGATTCTTGCAATGT